ACTGTAAATATGTATTATTATCTACTCTATGTAAATGCAAACTGTTCCTGATGCTATTTTTTAATCAGAATATAAAAGAATACATTTGCCAAGTCAATCACCATGTATCATGTACCTGAAACCATCTTAATTTGCTCTAGCAAATATGTTAATCATATCTAGTACTGTGGCTGCAATTAGGCAGACAGTCCGTTTAAGTTTGCAGTAAACTATCAATTTCCAAGACCCATCTTCTTCTTCTGGGGGATAGATTGGCAAATTAAATGGAGATATGGTGGAGTCCCCCATTCCTACATCTTTTATATTCTTAACTTTTGCCATCCCCTGACCTGGGGTTGTGATACTGGTTTTGGTTCTTGGATGGAACTGGGGGGATGATAAAGTATTTTCAGAGGTTTCTACTTGGGCTTCCCCACTATAAGAGCCCATACCCCAAAGGCCAAGAACCCAAAGTTGGAGTTGTACCAACTACTACATAGGTCAATCTCAATTATACACTCAGAGATCATGAAAATGACTGCTAGGTAGACCAATAGATCTAGTAAGCAGGACCTTTGTCAAGACTCCATAAGCCTCCATTCTAACAGGAAGACCATGATGATACCTTGGGTCTCTGCATATCTACATTAACTCAGACCTTTGTTTCCTACAGTCTCCAAAATGTTTGGGATACCTAACCATAAGTGACTATTCAGTCAAGGGGTCTGTATCCGAAAACCAATTCAGGTCCAGGAGCAGAGCAAGAAATCAAAGCATTTAATTGCCCTCAATCTAGCAGTCATTCATCTTTTTTTTTCTTCCTATGGAACAAGCTGAGTTGTACCCTTACTGGGTGCCCATCTCTTTTGCCCCTAGGCATACTGTGTTCCATTAACCATCTCTATTACTGTCTGCAGATCAGGCCCCTTTAGCTACCTTATGACTCTGCCATTCGTTAAGAAAATTACATCCATCTTCCTTCTGGCAGTTAAGTGACACTACCCACTCTCTCTTGTTTTGGAGTCCTAACGTCCCCATTGCTATTATTGAGCCTAATTCTGTAATGGCCTTTTCTACCGTTAACCCTGTCTTATAAAAGAGCTTCCTCACTGAACTTTTTAGTAATGTTATTACCGCTCTCATGAGTGCATTACTTAATGAACTTGGCAATGGCGCATCCAATAGTCCTTTCCAGGGTATATAATCATCTGGTGTCTCTTTCAGCCTTACATTTGAGCATGCCCATTTCCCTGGGCATTTCATCCCTTTCTCCACTGTCTATGATAGCAATTTTGGCATTTCACCTTCATTTAGCATGAGCCATCATTTTTTCCGTGCTTCTAGGATCCATACTAGTAGAGTTCACATTGTCTGCTCAGATCCTTGACAGACTGTTAAATCTTACATTTGGGGAAGTGTCCACAAGTCAATAAACTCTCCCCTCTCTAGTACGTTGTTCTAGCCTGCTTGATAGAGCAGCCTCAGAATCCAGTCCCTATAATGTCCCCCCAGCTACTGCCAATACATTCTAATTAGGTCTTGTAACTCCTTTAGGTAAGAGTCTCTTTCCTTCCTTATCAGGCCCACCATGTCCCCAGATATGTTATGTTGGAACCTAACCCTAGTGATAGGCTTAATGACCAGATAGAAAAATGGGGGGCAGATCATGAGGAAGGCACATTCTGCCCTATAGGGAAAGACCTCTGCATTGTCTTCAAGCAAGGAAAGAGTGCTAGCTTTTAATGGAGATGGGTGGTCACTTCTGTAAGCCAGGAGGATTCAAAGAAGTCAAGGGTTCAAAATCTTAAATACCATCTACCCAAATGTCCCCAGTTTCAGTGTCAGTGTTCTATTTTTTCTTTTTTAACTATGGCCCTGATCTTGGCATAACGGAATTACTTTGATTTAGCATTTAACCTTTTCCCATTATTGATACAATTTAAAACAAACAAAAAAAAACCCCAAATCCTCTGTGTCTATATGTGTACAAGTGCACACACATGGCAATGGAGTACACAAACATTTAAAGAAATTTCTGGAAGAAAACATCAAACTTTTTTTTTTTAAAGATTTTATTCATTTATTTCAGAGAGAGCACAAGCAGGGGAGCAGCAGAGGGAGAGGAAGAAGCAGGCTCCCCATTGAATAGGGAGCCTGATATGGGTCTCGATCCCAGGACCCCAAGACCATGACCCAAGCTGAAGGCAGCCGCCCAACAGACTGAGCCACTCAGGCACCCCATAAACATCAAACTCTTAACAGTGGTTACATATATGGAAGGGAGTAAAATGGGAAGATGTGGAGAGAGGAACTTGAACTATTTGCTATATATTCTTCCATGTTGTCTGAATTTTTTCTACAAACATTTGTAGAAAATATTGAAATATTGAAAGCAACCAATTATAAATATTGCAAACAATATTTTAAAGTACTAGGAAAATTAAAATGATCATTGCCATATAGGGAGAGAAATGAAAGAAGTCTTTAGCGATGTTCTTGGTTTTCCCCAAGAGGTTTGACCTCACTTGACCCCACCCCACCGGGAGAGAATGGATGTGGGAAGGTCATTGTGCAATGAACCAGTCTCTTGCTCCTGGAGAAGTGAGGGAAAGGGCTTCTTATCTGTGGTCAGCCCTACTCTCATTCCTCCTCAGAAGGGGCTGAAGGGCTTTGCACCTGACATCCAGGGCCGGTGGAAACTGCCTCAGAAGCAGAGCAACCTGTGGGCCTATTAAAGTTGGAGGCGGTCTGTACATGATACCACAGGAGAAGTTGAATCTTGGCATTAACAACTTTTCTCGGGGGCAGAAGTTGGTAGTGCATGTGACTCTTGATCTTGGGGTTGTGGGTTTGAGCCCCCCACATTGGGTGCGGAGCTTACTTAAAAAAAAAAAAAGAATGAGGTTTCTCAGCTTTTTGCAAGTTAACAGGATAGAAAGGGCCAAATAATATATATAAATAGAATAAAGTTTCTGTCTTTTACAGCTTTTGGTTAGACAGATTTTCAGTACATTTGACAAATGTATTTAGGATGGTGCATTCGTTTCCTGCAGCTGCTGTAACAAATTATCACAAATTTGGTGGCTTCAAACAACAGAAATGTATTCTCTCACAGTTCTGCAGGCCAGAAATCCCAAATCAGTTTCACTAAGCAGAAATCAAGCCATCAGCAGCCCCACACTCCCTCTGAAGGCTCTCGGGAGAATCCCTTCCTTGACTCTTCCAGTTTCTGGTAGCTGTCAGTATGTCTTGGCTTGTGGCCACATCACTCCAATTCTGCCTGTCTTCACATCACCCTTTCCTCTGTGTGTGCGTATAATCTCCCTCAGCCTCTCTCATAAGGACATTGTGGCAGCATGTAAGGCCCACCCAGATAATCCAGAATAATCTCTCCATCTCAAGATCCTTAACTAAGTCACATTTGCAAAGACCCTTTTTTCCTTATAAGTTAACATTTATAGGTTCCAGGAATTAGGACCTGGCATCTTTGAGGCCTATCATTCAGCCTACTACAGAGAGACTGATGTAACACATGTAATATGTATGGAATCAATTTGGGGGGCTCCATCTTTTCAAAGACCAATCTGCTTCTAGATCCGATACTGAGAAACAATGGGAGTTTCATGTATCTGCCAATCAGAAGAAAACCACCATGTGGCTCAAGACACCTTGGATAGAGAAAATAATTGGTCGCTTTCAATTTGACTTTCCCACCACTGAGCTACTGAATCAGAATCTTTCCATTTGATTCTTACCCTCACTGAAGGTGTAAGAGTAGATATTGGTTTGAGACTCCAATTCACACTCAAACTGCTTCTCACATGGGAAACTCCACGTAGCTGACTTCTGGGTAATAAACAGGGATTTACTTGTTTCACCATGTAGGATTCACCAATCAGGAATTCAAATTGGAGTTCTGGTTAACATTCATTAAGCATTTATTATATCCCCAGTACTGAGCAAATTATCTCACATGTAGTATGTTGAGCTAACTTTTGAGGTGGATTCATTTACTAAGACTCTTTGGTTGTATCCTACATAACCAAAAAGGATTTATTAGAAGACCTCTGGACTGGCTCATGAATCAGAAGAGCTGCACAAACCAGGTTAGGAAAGACGGAAAGGACAGCAGCTCTGAGGAACTCTGTCACAGCTCTTGGTTCTCTTCTCAGTCTATGGCACTATCATCATCAGATGACCCTACCTAAATTGCCTCCCCTCTCTGTGGATTTTCACTCACAATTTGAATTCCAAGCACAGTTTTATTTGACTCTGCTGAAATAAAGGCACTATTAAATTTGGCCCTGCCTGTGACAAATGCCCATCTTGGGCCAGAGGAGCATGTTCAGTTATGGGGGAGAAAAAGAGTGAACAAGAGGAATGAAGCAGACCAAAGTGATAGTTGCTTTGTAAACAATGTTACCTCATTTTACAAATGGGAGAATATTGAACCTCAGAGAGTTTACAGCTTTGTAGCAAGTTGTAAAGCCATATATGAACGCAATTCTGCCCAACCCAAACCCTGGATCTTTTTTTTTTTTTTAAGATTTATTTATTTATTTTAGAGGGAGAAAGAAGAACACAGGGGAGGGGGGAGGAAGAGAGGGAGAGGGAGAGAGAGAATCCCAAGCAGACTCCACGCTCAGCCTGGAGCCCAAAGCAGGACACAGTCTCACAACTCTGACATCACGACCTGAGCTGAAATCAAGAGTTGGTCTCTTAACCGACTGTGCCACCCAGGCACCCCCAAACCCTGGATTTTTAACCACTTTTCCCATCCCAGTATCTACTGCAGTCCAGGAATCTAAGACAGATTCCAAAGCAGTTTCTTTATGAAGTTCCAGCTAGAGTTGTGGTATTTCAGCCAATTTTGAGACCCAGGAAATAAATGTACAGTGAGAACTCTCTCTGTTCATTCATTTGGTGCATATTTTGTGAGCGAGTATTGATTGCAGTTTTGGACAAAATGGACACATTTTATAGCTTAAGTGTGGTTGCAAGAAGCAAAAACTCAACTCTAATAAGCTTATACCAAACAGTATTTATTGACTCAAGGGAATGGGCAACCTAAGGGAGAAACAGCCTTCAGCAAATCTAGATGCAGTGCCATGGGGACTGATTCCTCTCTGCTCTTCATCTTCAGGCTCTCCTTCCCTCTGTGGTCATTTCATTACCAGGAAGACTCCCTCCACGTGAAGACAAATATGGCTGCCAGCATCACCAACAGGCGGCAACAGCAAGGAAAAGAACTCTTTTTCTCCCTGCATCCATGGCAATTCTGTAAAAGGATTCTGACTGGCCCTTCATGGATCAGCTGCTGAGTGACAAGTTGGACCAATCACTGTGTCCAGAGAAATGGTGTACAATGCTGTTCTGCCTCCTGTGTCCATTCCTATGGTGGAATACATGGGACCACATGACTGGCAGACCCACCAGAATCACTCAGAGTGGGCTAAAAACATTTCCTAAAAATGAAAGAGAAATGCTGTTGCAGAAAAAGGGGGAAAGGAGAGCAGGTAGAAAAACAATAAACACATTATAGATAAACCATGGTGCACATCCTTGGGCCTCACCTCACGTAATGAATCAGAATATTTCTGTATGGTTCTTACCCATGCTAAAGTTTGGTCCATGCTACAGTTCATAAAATGAAAGGAATTCCAGGAAAGACACTGAGGAAAAATAAGATTATGAGGTGAAAGGAGTAAACCAGAGCTAGGATGAAGAGTAGATAACAGAAGGATGAAATAAAGGGGGAAAGGGAGAGATAGAAAAGCAAAAACAAGCATAACCTAAGCAGCATTTGGATGGACAAGGCATGTTCTCAGGAGTGAGTCAACCTTACATATCCAAGGGGTTTTTGTGTGGAAGAGGTGATGGGCTTAGAAGGCAGAAATGCTTGAATATGAATTTTCATTTTGTCGCTTGTCAGCTTTATGAATTTAGGCAGATGACTCATCCTCTCTCGTATCAGTGTTCTGATCTGTAAATTGGGGATAATGATATCCTGCTCACAGTATTCTCCTGAAACTCCAGAGATTATAATGCTTGCAAAATAGTTGTTCTTGTGTTAGTTGCCTCCCATTTCTCTTAACCCTTTCTGCAGAATTAAGACCCAAGAGGTAGGAAGAATTTAGGAAGAGAAAGGCTTGGGCTTAATATGAAGAGCTCTCTAACACCTTAAGTCACCCTATCACCCAATGAGCTGTGACTTCATTGATAGGGACTGAATATGTCCCCCCTCAAAATTCATATGTTGAAACCTCAAACCCCAATGTGACTGTATTTGCAGATAGGGCCTTTATTGAAGAAATTAAGGTTAAGTGAGGTTATAAGGGTGGAGCCATGATCCAATAGGATTAGTATACTTATAAGAAGAGGCACCAGAGAGCTTGCTCCCACTTCTTCATGGAAGGGACACAGTGAAGAGGCAGCCATCTGCAAGTCAGAAAGAGAGCTCTCACCAGGAACTGATCCCGGCTAGAACTTTGATCTTGGACTTCCCAGTTCCCAGAACTGTGAGAAAATAAATTTCTGTTAAGCCACCTAGCCTAGAGTGTTCTGTTATCACAGCCTGAGCAGACCAAGATACTCCCCTCACTGGAATCATTAAAACAAGCTGACAGTCCCCTTTCAAAGATACAGAGGGACTCTCCATAGGAGGACAGTGGAATGAGAGCAAACTATCTCTATAAGTCTATCCCAGGGCTTCTCAACCTTGGCTGCATATTAGAATGACCTGGGGAAATTTTTATTTATTTATTTATTTTGGAGAGAGAGAGTGTGTGTGTGAATGGGGAGGGGCAGAGAGGGAGAGAGAATCTTAAGCAGGCTCCAGGCCCAGCCCAACATGGAGCCGGATGCAGGGCTCAATCTCAGGACCCTGAGGTCATGACCTGAGCTGAAATCAAGAGTCTGCTGCTTAAGCAACTGAGCCAGGCAGGCACTCCACCTGGAGAGCTTTTTAAATATACTGATGCCAAGAAAAAAAAAGGTATTGATGCCCAAACTTTCTGTCCCAAATCAATTAAATCAGGATCTCTGGGTATGTGCATTTAAAAATAGTGTCCCAGGTGATGTTAAGCAGCCACGACAAGATTGAGAATCACTCCCTTAGGACATCTGAGACCCTTTCCAGCTCGGGGTTATTATTAATTTATTGAGACTTAAATTTGGTGACATAAGAAAGGAGTGTGTGTCATGAACCCCACTTTGCCAGTACAAAAGAGAGAATTGTGAGGCTATGCTCCCCAAGTCACTAAACAAGCTGATGATGAAGTTATCTTTCGATCTGTGACCTTTGGAATTCCTAATTAGATGCAAACTACATTTAACAGTAGAGTAGACATTTGTTGTTTTTGCTAGGCCCGAATCCTTACCCTTGGATTGGAAGCAGCTTGTCTTTGGGGGGACAATGCCTTCCCAATTCTATGCGTCTTAAAAGGACTGTTGACCCCATATGACCCAAACCAATCCAGGCAGACTCTTTCTTCAGGGAGAATGACAGAGGGACTCTAGGTAGGCGGAGCTGTACTCTTCCCGTGACGTGACTAAAGAGATATATTCCTTAGTACAATCCTGTAGCTTCCTCCTTTCCTTCTTCCCAAGACCTGGCCTGAAGTATTTCCTTTAATTCTGTGACCTACAATGTATGCTTCTGCTGACTTCCTTCTTCCACCTCAGTGAGTCAGAGCTTCTTTCAGTTGCTTGCAGAACTGGTTCAAAAACTGGTACCTGGAAGTGAGCACTGCAAGCAACAGAGATTTCAGCTGTGGCAACAGCAGCTGTAGGTAGGTACAAGGCAGTGAAAATTCCCCAATTCAGTTGAAAAAGTTGAAGCCAGGTCTTTCTCTGGGAATTCCTAATTTTCACATGCACCAGTAAATGTCTTGTTTTGTTCAATCTAGTTCTGATTAAGTAAGCTATGTATGCAAAATGCAAGGGTTCACAAGAGCAAGGTATTCCCCTCTCTGTGGTTATTTGGCACGTTGGTAGGTTGGGGCTGCCCTGAGTGTGCCTTATGGCACTTTGGCTTTGTTTTTTTTTGTTTTTTTTTTTAACCCATTAGAGTAGCCTTCATGCACATCAAGACTTGGCCCAAACCAAGTCTTTTGCTCTTATGACCCTCAAACCCATAAATGGGAATTGGAAATTAAGGTCCAGAGAGTCGTACCCAGCCAAATTCCCCAACTTTCTAAGATTGATCTACTAGAAAGAGCCTATGGAAAACAAAAAGGCAGAGCACAGCAAGTGGGCATAATAATAATGATGATGACCGCCATTTGTTAAGCCCTTACTATGAGCCACTGAGCTATTATGTCACTTAATCCTAGAAGAGTGATACTATTATGTTTTGTTTTATTTTGTTTCTAATGTTGAACTGCAGATGCACAGAACTGAATTGATTCAGTCAGTCATTCTTTCCCGTGACTGGCATGATATAATCATCTGTCTAGACATGACCCCTATTTTTTCTTATCTTCTTTATCCTTCATTCCCGAGTGTATCTAATGTATGTGGTTGCAATCTATTCTCCATAGACTTACAGATCCACAAAAATATGTAGTGTAGTGTCTGCTTTTAAAATATATATAAATGGATCATACTGCATGTCTAACTCTGCAATTTGCTTTTTTTATTCAGCATTATGTTTCTGAGATCCATCCATGTTGATATATATAGAGAGAGCTAGTTCATCTGTTAAACTGCTCCATGGTATACTATCATATCGATACACTATAGTTTACCTATGTATTTCCCCTTGATGGATATCTAGACTGTTGTTAATTCTTTCCTACTACAAAAAGGGCTTCAAATGAATAATCCTGTATATGTCTCTCAATGCATTGGGCAAGAATCTCTCTAAGATTTACCTAGAAGTAGAATGGCTGGGCCTTAGTCCTCATGCATTTTCAGTTTTCGTAAATCCTGCCAAATTACAAAGTAGTTTTGCTAATTTGCACTCCCACCAACACTATAGGAGAGTTCTTTAGGGAGATTCCATTATTATCTCCATTTTGCAGATGAGGAAACACACAAAATGTCCAAAGTGAAACGCTGTATCTATCTGAACCATGTCTATCTAACTCCCTGTCTACACTACACGACATAACACTAATTAATGGCTGAAGATACGTTTAGCTGCAAGTGACAGAATGTCCTAACTGTGGCTTAAGCAGTATGAGTATTTATCATCTCACTTAACAAAAACAGTGGAAGGAGGTGGCTCCAGAGTAGCTAAGCAGCTCAGCTGTGTTATCTGCAACATGGATGCTTTTTCGTTTTTAATTCTGCTATCCTTAGCTGTTGAGTTATCACCCTCATTTCATCTCCTCTCAGCCCTAGGATGCCTGACGCTGTTCTGACACCATGTCTGAGTTCACAGCAGAGAAGGGGGGTGGGGGGTGGGGAGGGATGAGTAGTGGCACCATGCAACTCTTCTCCTTCTCTGTCCTTTTTAATAGGAAAGCAAAATGCCTTCCTCGAATTCCCCACTCACTCCCCCCCACACGCCCTTTTTGTTCATTGGTCAGAGCCCACTACTGGTCCAATCTTCAGGCAGAGTAGAATGAGATTATGTCAGGTTTAGCTCAACCACGACTCAGCTGCTGGGGCTACGGAGAGGGTTTACCTTTGTAATCTGAAGCCATCCCCATGTCTCAAAGCTGTTCTATCGGCAAAAAAGAATTCCCCAAGTTGTTGGATAACAGTTTGGTTTTGCTTTTATCTTTGACATTTTCTTCTCAGATTGCTTTGCTGGTTTCTCCTCCCCACTCAGTCGTTAAATACTTGCTTCACCTTGGGCCCCTTCTCTTCCCGAGATTCTTAAGAGAAGACTAACAGATGGACGGCAGGTCAAATTTAAGTTTGTGCCACCTGTTGTATTCCCTCTCCCTATGCCGATAGCATCCATTTTCATAGCTTCATTTGCCATTTACATATTGATAACTCCTAAATTTGTATCTCCAGCTTCCTCTTCTTTTCTTGAGCTTCGGATTCACATGTAACGTAGCCTCCTTAGAGATTCCTAAGACATTAAACTCAACAGGTCCAGAATCGAGCTTTTCGATCTCTGCCACCCAAACTTGTTCTTTCTTTTCTGGTGCGTCCTGTCTCCGTGAAGGCAACTCCCACTAGAGTTGCCCAAATCAGAGACCTGTGAGACTTCCCACACAATACCTCTCAAATGTGTCTGCTTGTCATCTGCATTACAGGCACCTTAAACTAAAACTCCCAGTAGAACATTTGTGGTATAGACCAGCACCTGGGTTATAGATGCAGTCTCGGGCCCTACCCCAGACCTTCTGGATCTGAACCTGCATTTTAACAGGATTCCCAGGCAATTCATTAAAATTTGAGAACTTCTTATCTTGACTTTTGATATAGCTTATTAATTGGTCTCCCTGAATCGGTCTCTTGCCCCCTAAAACTCTTTCTTGACACTACAAACCTCATAAGTCCCTTCCCTTATCAAAGCCTGTAACTAGTTCCCCCCACCCATTCCCCCCTTGCTTTGGAGATAGAAGGCAAAAAGCCTACAGAATACAAAGCCTGATGGAAGTTCCCCTCCTGCCAAATCTCCAGCCCCATTCTGGCTCGCCCTCTGGCCTCCAGCCACATTTAGTCTTCCAATTCCTGTGCCTGGCCAGATGTTTCCCAAGTCAGGGACCTTTTGCCTGCAATACCCAGCATGATCTCAACTGCCCTGGCACGTAGCTGACCCCTCCTCTCACTTCCTCAAAGAAGCCCCCTGCTCTGACAGCCCACGGGAGGTCAGCCACTCTGGTGTTAACCTCCCTTTGCACACTGTGCTCCTTCAGACATTTATCACAGTTGTACTTAAAAAATGGTGTGCGTGCTTCTTTGTGTAATGTCAAGCTTCCCCCACTGAATGGCAGCTCTAAGACAAGTGCATCAGCTCTCGCATGGCCGCATCCTTCTGGTACCTAGCACAGTGCTGGATACACGTTACGTACCCAATGAATCGCTGTTGACTCAATGACTATGAATGAATAACCATCCCCAGGGAGTTGTCCTGGCCCAGGGTGGCCTTGCCTCCTTAGTTCAACTGGAATTCAGAATCTGAAAAAGATTGAGGAGAGCCAAGGAAGTATAATCTGACCACCAGCAAGCTAACTGGGGATGAAAATGTCCAATTCTGACAAATGTACCCCGCGCACGTGCTGAAAGAAAAACAGAAGCAGCCCCCGGAGAGTGATGGTAAACATTTCGTTCCCCGGCCAGTGCCCTCCTCAATACACTCCCAAACTGACCTTTAGAAGGACTTTTGTATAGTGGGAGGTCTCTTTTAACCTCGGATGAATAAGAGTGTGAAGTGGTGTTTGCTTTTTTCCCTTTGTTCTCTGGCTGAGAAAAGTCTGGAGGTGGTAGAGTGAGCCTTAGGAATACAATTGCCTTCCCTTTCAAATGCTAAAGAGGGGTTTTGCTACTGGTTTAGTATAATCTGAGAGTTGGAGAGGTCTGGAAGAGATCCATTCCCCTTCCTTTTGGCATCTCATTTCCTGCAGGCTAGGGGCAACTTAGCAATTAATAGAAAAACCAAAGCTGCGAAAATAGAGTCAACATTGTCTCTGCATGGTAAACCAGTGGAGGAGAGTTAGATGCTTCTCCTAGAGGGCCCCCAGGAGAACTACAGGATGCATCAAGTCCACAATACTGGAGCAGGCCAGACAACGTGGGGTTTGCCGCTTTCTCCTCACCTGCGAGGGGGCTAGAGTCGGAGGGTACCCTGCTCAAGATAGCTGTTAGCACAGCCTTTTGACTCCCCTACAGCATGCATCTATGTTTTGGGGGAGTCTGATGTTTAAACAGTTTGGGGGGCTGTCTTTAAGAAAAAGAACATAAAACTATGAATAAAATCAGATTCAGGGCTTTGGTAAAAACTGAGGGTCTTCATCGGCTTCATGATATGTAACATATCCACCCTCTGACCCCAGCAAGTGTACTGGAAAAGCTGAGGCTTCAAAAGCCTTGGGCAAGTTAATATTCACACCCTAGAGCCTTAATTGGGTAATCTGTAAAATAGGACCCTCTAGTCCTCCTTAGAAATAGTATAAGGTAAAGATGCATGAAACAAAAGAAAGTACCTGCTATTTGATAGGAAGTACTCAATAAAAATGTCATTTTGGAGACCTCCTCTTTAGGAAATTATAGATCCACTCTGGGTTACCTTCTCCACCACTTCAGTATCTCCTTTAGCTTTACTGAGGTTTTGCAAGTGTTGTTATAATCCATCCGGAATAGATATCGTTACTTGCAGACTTAATGGACGTTCCCATACCAGTAGCTGAAATCAACACATTTTCTTTGACACACCAAGATCCCTAGTAAATTTAATTTGTATTAGTTGTTAAGAAGTTGGTCCAAGGTTGTTTTGTTTTATTTTATTTTCAGTTTCATTTGATGTGTTGTTTCATTTGTGTGTGTGTGTGCAAAAGATAATCCAAAAGTCAATGTGGTATGCGGTGTGTGTGTTACGTGTGTGCACACACGCAGGCTGAGAATCATATTGTTTACCATCCCTGACGTTTACCATCCGTCTCCAGTTCTATGTTTATCATCCTGAAGGCATCTGAGTTTATAATAAATCAAAATCAGCTAGTTTAAACCTGTGGGTGAATGGAATAGGAAGAAAGAAGATAAAAGGACAATGATGTGAGTTCATAGCTAGCAAGTAGGTCAATAGTATTGGGGTTAGTGGGGGAGCCTCTGGCCTCGTACTACCTTGTTCAACTCCCAGCTCTGCCACTTACCAGTTTTAACCTATAGCTATATTCATTTGAACTTTCGAAATCTCACTTTGCTCATCTCTAAAACTGGGATATTTATAGGACTTTCCTAAGAGGTTTGCTATGCGGATTAAATGAGAAAATCCTCTCACTGTGCTAAAAACAGTAACTGGAATAGGGTAAACCCTCCGCAAATGCTAGTTATTATTAAAAGCAACTCCTGTGTAGCCTGTAGTGAGCTGTATGTATGTCACCTCTTGTTCACAACACTGCGGAGTTAAATGACCTTCCCCAAATGGGGAAGTACCAGAATTTCGTCAAGAATCTAGTTTCAGTGAGTCCCCATTTAGTGCTCTTGACCAAATCGAAGATCTATGGATTTGTAAGATGAATGCCTCTTTCTAAGTACTAAGATGTGGGGGGAAAAAACATTTCTCAGAAACGAAATACAGTAGTGGTCTTTCCTCTACACTACCTCTTGCCTTTCTCCCCCAAACTTCCCTTCACTAGGACTGCTAAGAGATCAACTTAGGCATATGAAAAATTTTAAGAGTTTATTTGGGCAAAAATAAATTCAAATCAGGCAGCATCCAATCTAGCAGACAGAATGGAGCTCCAAGGAGCTGCACAAAATGATAGCCTTTTACAGGCTGAGGGAAGCAGGTCTTTTTTGTCTTATTGCAAGGTTACTTTTCTTTAGGGGAATGGGCTCTATCAGGCAGAATACCCTAACTAGTGCTGATCAGGCGATTCCTGATTGGTTTAAGATACCATTTCTGGAACAGCTGAAACTAGAATTAAATCTCAGTTTGGTGATGTGGAACTTAGCACAAGTGACTCCATTTTGGGCCTGTTGTTTTGTTTTTGACAGCACATTGTTCAGTAGTGGATGTACATTACCAGACATACTTATGGAAAAAGCTGGATTACATACAGAAACATCAGTGCAGGGTCCTATTGAGTTTTCCTGGTACCCGCCCCCCCCTCCCCCCCACTGGCATCACTTCAAGATGTAATCCAGATACTTGGTAGATCAAACTTGGAATGCCACTCTTTTCCTATCTAAAGAAAACTACTAGGCAACTACATGGCGATGTTCAAAATTATATCTAATCCAAGTTTTGCACTGACATACTCTGTAGGACACTTTAGCTGAGGCTGGGAAGACTTGGATGTGGAAATCCCACTGTGGGGAACAGTGTGATGTAGGAAAGAAACATGTTGTTTGGTATGGAGGACCCAAGTCCAGTTACAACTTCTTCAGCACAAGTAGCTTTGAGATTTTGCATAAATGACATTGCCTATAAAATGACACAAATAATCCCCCCCCCCCGCCTATTTTTGCCCATCAGAGTAAGGATCAGAATATAACACATGTGAAATGTAATGTGTGTGTGTGTACTGTAGAAATGTAACCTTTATTAATGTAATTGTTAATTGCTATAGCTTGTTACTTTAGGGGAAGTGAGATGGTGGAAGCTGGGCAAGTCACATGCAGAAAAAGGTACATGTGTATATGATTGCATATGTATTCTGTAAAGTCTATAAGGGTATAGGCCAGCTTGCTTATTATGACAGGGCTTTCATATTTACTTCTAGATTGATGGATTGTTTGGATTATTTTTACAACAAGCGTGTATTTTTTTAAGGTTTTATTTATTTATTTGTCAGGGAGAGAGAGAGAGACAGAGAGAGAGCACGGCAGGGGGAGCAGCAGGAAGAGGGAGAAGCAGGCTCCCCGCTGAGCAAGGAGCCTGATATGGGACTTGTTCCCAGGACCCTGTGATCATGACCTAAGCCGAAGGCAGATGCTTAACTGACTGAGGCACCCAGGTGTCCCACATGTATGTATTTTTACAATATTTTTATTTCAATAAATTCCTCTAAAAAGAACAAAGAATGGCTGTGCTAAAGAGAAGTTCTTTCAAAAGCTATAATTTGGTCAAATTGAATCCATTTTAACACATCTTATTCCAGCCCCTCATCCCACCCCCAATATGTTAATTGATCATGTGAAAACTGACCTTACAACCCACTTCTCTTTAAATTCTATGGCCTGATATTTGGTTGTTGTTTTTGGTTAGATACCCTCATATAAGAATGGAATACCTCTTTTGAAAGAAAAATGACTAAAATTTCAAAACTTAGAATCAAAAGGGACCCAATTGAGCAGTTTCCTCAAATCACAAGTATGACATCTCAGAAATTGGAAGTTTCCCATAAAAGGGTAAAGACCAAAAAAAATAATCTTTTTGGAAAACTAAAATATGTAAGTTCACCTCAATGGCCAGTCTTTTTCTGGTTCTTTTGCAACTTAGAATTCCTCCTCTCATCTTAGAAACAAATAATGTGGGATGTGGTGGCTAAGTCAGTTAAATGTCTGCCTTTGGCTCAGGTCATGATCCCAGGGTCCTGGGATCGAGGCCCTCATTGGGCTCCTTGCTCAGCGGGGAGCCTTCTTCTCCCTCTGCCTGCCGCTCCCCCTGCTTGTGCTCTCTCTCTCTCTCTGACAAATAAATAAGATCTTTAAAAAATATATAAGAAACGAGTAGTGTGTGTGTGTGTTTTAACGTTCATAGCAGTTTCTTTGTCATAGCGCAAAACTGGAAACCGTTAACATGTCCATCAATAGGTGAATGGGTTAACATAAATATATAGTCACACAATGGAATACAACTCAACAATAAAAATGGATGAACTATTTACAAACACTAGAGCGTGCATAAATCTCAAAATAATATGCTGAGTGAAAGAAGTCAGACAAAAACAAGAGTACATACATACTGTATGATTGCATTTATAAAAAATTCCAGAAAATGCAAGCTAATCTACAATGACCAAAGCAGAGTCAGCAGTCACCTGGAACCAAGTAGAGGGTGAAGAGGGATGGGCCACAAGGGGCATGAAGAAATATTTGAGGGTGACGGCCACGTTTATTATTTTTCCTTTTTCCTCATAAACATTCTCTTTAATAGATAAGCTTACAATTGGTGGCAACTTTTTGTAGAGTAGAAAGCTTTTGCAATATATTGTCTATATTTAAAGCTTGTTTATCTTTCTGAAGAGAGAATTTCTAAGACTAATGTGTACTGAGGCTAAGAAATTTAAGAAACTAGATAAACTACTAGTTACTAAAATTGTTTAACTTGCTAGTTGTAGCTTGTTAAGTTAAAGTTATATTTTTGGTTTGAGAAGGATCAGTAGTGATAAAGATTATCCAAAATAATGAGTCATGCGATATTTGGGCTTTAAAATGATACCATACTCCTAAAAATACCAACTTTTATCTCTGAGGAATTGGTCAAGTGTAAATACATGTTTTACATTATATGT